AAAAAAAAAAAATGAAAATAATGATATATATTATAATTTTAAAAAATAAATATAATAATATATATTTATATAAATTTAAAAAATAAATATTAAAACTATTTAATTAATATTTTTGCCTTTTCCGCAATTAATTTTTAAAAATTTTAAAAATATTTAATTAATAATTTTTTATTTAATTAAAAAAGATTTAAAAGATATTTTAAAATATAATATATATATATATATATATTGCGTTTTTTTTCGTTTTTAAATATATATATATTTAATATATATTATAAATTCTTTTTTCATAATTAACATAATAATATATAAAATAATGTATATTATAATTTTAATAAATAAATATAATAATATATATTTTATATAAATTTAAAAAATAAATATTAAAAATATATATAAGGCTTACATTAATTGTTATAAAATTACATTAATTGTTATAGGAAAAAAAATATATTAGTATAAATTAGTAAGTTATATATATTAATTAATTATCTTATAAAATAAAATTTATTGATATTACGTTAGAAGTTAGAATTTATTATATAATAAATTACAAATTATTATTATTATTTTGAGATAAATTATAATTTATTATTTTTGTAAAAATATTAACATACATCGTAACATATTGCAGGTGCCACTCGAAGATTTTGGAGGAGACGGTGAAGGTTATCGATGTTGTTTCGCTACAGACGAACTATTTGAAACTCCCGAAAAAGCTATTGAATGGGCAAAAGCCATTGCAACAATATGGGGTTTCTATTTGGTCATATCGAGACACAATAAGGATGGAACGGTTCGGACGTTGAGGTGTGATCGAGGGGAACGTTACAGGGGCAAGGCAGAAAAACTATGAAATTTAGTGAATACTGTCTTGAGACGTTCGAAGACGAAATATATTGGCTGTCTTTTTCAGATAAATGTGAAAAATGAAGAGTTATCCAATAAATGGTGTATCTGACTTCCTTTAGAAAACGAGAAGGGATTTCATAATCATGCGTTGACTGTGTATCCCGAGGGTCATCGACAGATCAGCAGACTCAGCGATTCATCCAAAGAGATTATCCGTGACATGAGTGATGCTCAGGCAAGACCGGCAGTAATTTTGGCTGCAATTCAGGAGAAAAACCCTGTGGACAACGCTACTTGCCAACAAGTTTATAACTATAAAGCTCGATTGCGAAAAGACTGTATGGGGGGTCGAGATATTGCTGGCCAGCTTCTGCATTTGGCTACCGACAGCAACTACATAGTTTTCACAGACGTTGACCCGAACACACAGGCATTGACACGTGTGTTCATGTCGCATCCACGAGCAGTTGAAACTGCGAGTCTCGCATTATTGTATGGATATATTGAATGATGAGCTTCATAAGATGCGAGACTTCAGCAAAGATGTTTTTGATCTGTGCGATTGTGCGCTAAAATACACTCATGGACTTCCTTGTGCCTGTGACCTAAGGGAGGCACACACTGAAGGTAGAGAGATTACGCCCAACGACATCCACAGGTTTTGGAGCACACTAGTGGTGACGGAGCCAGGTATACTTGCGAAATTAATAAATTTATACAACATCATGTAAATAATATAATTTTATTAAATATTCTTTAATTTTTTTTTTTTTTGACTCCACGTATTGCTTCATTATAGAATTTTTGATAGAGCATATTGAATAATTTTTATATTTTCGGTACGGACAGGTCAGCAGAGTGCATCAGCGAATGGATGGACTGATCATAATTATTTTCGGCGGCTTGCCGAGGAGGTTGAAGCGGCCGATCCTGCGACTGTACGGTACCTGAACCATGTCATCGCCTCTCAACTTCATCCTGATGAACAAGGATACAAAGAACCTGAAGTTAAGAAAAATCCGAGAGGTCGCCCCAAGAAGAAAAATTCAACAAAACGCGATCCATCGAGTTGGGAGTACACTGTTGGAGGCCATACGGCGGGGCGTAAAAGCACTTCTTCGTGTGCTCCATCGCAATCGGGGTACACGGAAATAGGTCGTAAGCCGGGGCGTAAGAGCACTTCTTCGTGTGCTCCGTCGAAGTGGGAGTACAGGAAAAGTGGTCATCCGGGGGCTCGTACAAACACTTATTACTCATCGTCTCAAGATACGACAGGTAATTTTATTTGTTGTTTTACTTGAACGATGACTAATTATGTTTGTAAATTTAATTACTTAAATAAATTGTGATGTGAAATTATTCTGATATTATAGATACTTTCGAGACGGATTTCTTCCAATATCGACATTGTGGTAGGATTCCCTACATAGTTCACAGCTACGTACAGAGTTATCTGGATGTGAAGGCGGACGGGAACTGCGGATTCCGGGTGGTTTTGAGTTACATTTATAGAGATCAGGAGATGTGGCAACTGGTAAGAACTAATGTTGCAAATGAGGTTGCAGCCAACACACATTTGTACGCTCCTTTTTATTGGAATGGGGTCGACGTCGCAATTGATCGTATAAGATGGGACGGGGGTCCTTGTGGCGACGAGCATTGGATGGATGCTTATGGCGACCTCGTTGCTATTGCTACACTGTTTAATGCAGTTGTTGTGTTGTTAGGATATGGTCCCAACAATAACAATATGAATATGGCTAGTATGATGGTATTCCCGCTCCGCGCATCATTCACGGTTACACGACCTGACCGTGAGATCGTTATAGGTCATCTTGGTGAAGGCGGACGGGAACTGCGGATTCTGGGTGGTTGCGAGTTACATTTATAGAGATCAGGAGATGTGGCAACTGGTAAGAACTAATGTTGCAAATGAGGTTGCAGCCAACACACATTTGTACGCTCTTTTTTATTGGAATGGGGTCGACGTCGCAATCGATCGTATAAGATGGGACGGGGGTCCTTGTGGCGACGAGCATTGGATGGATGCTTATGGCGACCTCGTTGCTATTGCTACACTGTTTAATGCAGTTGTTGTGTTGTTAGGATATGGTCCCAACATGAACTGAAGTGAGAAAAATCATACGAAAAAATTACGGAGTGGAAATTCAATCGCCATACGATACGAGCTTGCTCCAACTTTCAGGCCGAAAATGTCGGTCACGCTCCACACGAATTTGGGCGACATCAAGTGCGAAATCTTCTGCGACGAGGTTCCTAAGACTGCTGAGAACTTCCTGGCACTATGTGCGAATGGCTATTACGATGGAACCATATTTCATCAGAATATCAAAGGCTTCATGATTCAAGGTGGTGACCCAACTAACACTGGCAAGGGCGGGACAAGCATATGGGGTAAAAAGTTCAATGACGAGATAAGAGAGTCTCTTAAGCACAATGCTAGAGGTATATTATCCATGGCTAACAGTGGGCCTAATACCAATGGAAGCCAATTTTTCATTACTTATGCCAAGCAACCACATCTTAATTGACTTTACACCATTTTCGGCAAAGTGATTCATGGTTTTGAAATTCTCGACATAATGGAAAAGGCTCAAACAGGACCTGGGGATCGGCCTCTGATGGAGATCAGGGTTAACCGTGTGACGATACATGCTAACCCACTTGCCGGTTAAATGCAGCTTTAGTTGCAAACATAAA